GCACATTCAATTTTTATTACTCATATTATTATTTTTACTACAAAGCTTCACTCATTTATTCGCAGTAATCACAGCTCAATCAAATTTGTTGTTTGACAACTGTTTGAGTATTCTTCGTCTCATCCTAGATTTGTTGCTGTTCCATAAAATTTATCGAAGAATCTGTAGACTCTATCGGTCACATATGCTGAGATAGAATAGATAAACCCATTACATAAAACATAATTAAAGGATACTTAGTGCATATTCTTCATATACTACAGCTCGCATCTGTGCTGCTTCCTTGTTTGTAAATATTTTATTCCGACTGTCTTCTAAATGGACTTTTTTTTGGTTCATTCGCCTTTGGCTTTTGAGTTGACTTTGGCGTTGTGCGCAATAGACCTTCACGTTTCACCCCGTCCCGTCCCGCCCCGTGCCGTTCCGTCACGTTCTCTTTCCGTAGCTTTGCAGCAAGCAACTGTTGTTTACCTTATGCAAATTTCTGTTGGCACGAATCATACGCCCGGACAAAGTCCCACGTCGCCTTCCCCCCCTCCAGCCACAACAATCCAACCCCATTTGTGTGTGGCCCGGCTAACGGGTTCAAAAAACTTTTGGTGACATTTGGCCGGACGGACGTACGGGCGGGATGCGGACTCTGTCTTTAATTGCTGGCAAAGCGTTTTAGGGGTGCCCCAGCTTAGCGCCCCCTTTGCGCCTTTGCCGGCGGGGTTGTTGGTGTGTCTTGGGCTCACTTATGCACTTGGCGTAACAAAACTCTTATTGATTTTCTTGGTTTCTGTTTTTGGGTTTATTTTTGTTCGCTTGTTTGTTTTTTGGGCAAGAAGCAAGTCACTGGGTCGCTAGCCTGGCCAGGTGGTGGTGGTGGTTGCACTCTGCTGAGGTAGGGGTACGGGGTACGAGGTGGGGGGTGTGTAAGGTGGGCACGAAATTTATGACACCAATTATTGTATGAATTCCAAATTTGTTTGGCGCGTTGCCAACGCCAGGCAGACAGACAGACAGACAGACAGGCGGACAGATAGACGGACGGACAAAGAAACAGGAGAATCGGATATGGAAATGTGAAATACAAATGCGAGCGCACAAATACTTCCGTCTAAAAATACATATAGGCTACGCTTACTTACACAAACTTTCCCACTTTCGTACTTTTCAGGCAACACGCTGGGCTTCCTCAAGGCCGCGCCGAATACCCATCAGCAGCAGCAACAACAGCAGCAACAACAGCAACGGCAACAGTGAAAGAAGTAGAAAATCCAATAAGAATAACTAGAGCTATCGCTGGGCGCATCGGGAAATATGTCAGGTCGCAGAAGTCAGACACAGATGGCGCCGCCGCCGCCGCCGCCCAAGCCAACCAAATCGCAGCCGAACGGCAATGGAACGCTACCAAATGGCAACAGTAACGGCAACGGCAACGGCAATGGCAACAATAACAATGGCGACTACAACAACAGTTACAACAGCAATAAAATTGTCGCAGCGACAGGCGATTGGAGCCAACAAAATCAAATCGGCGCTCAGAACAGCAACGCTGCCCGCCGGAGTCAGACGCCGCCGCGCATTGAGCACGTCGTGATGACGCCACGTGGCAAGACCGCCAACAGTACCGTTATATTGATCGAACGCAAGCTGGTGGATGAGATCAATGATCGCGTCCATGTCGCCGGCGGCGATCACACAGGCATCATCATCAACAAGGACACGGTGGCCGGCCAGAAGAGCGCCAGCAAGCCGGCCGCCCTCTCCCTGGAGTTTCGTGTCTTTCTGGTCAGCGCCAACACGGGCAAGCACTCGCAGGAGTCGCGCACGTTGCGCTTCTGGTTCCGGGACTGGCTGACCAACGACGAGAAGCAGGCGCACATTGCCCAGGACTTCTTCAAGGAGCTAGTCAGTCCGCAGGACTTTCCCAGAGGTGAGACAGAGATCTATGTATATTGATAGAGATAGAGATAGAGATATAAGATAAAAGATGAAAGACAAGAGATAAGATATAAAAGATTGAAGATGAAAGATGAAAGATAAAAGATAAAAGATATAAGATATAAGATATAAGATATAAGATATAAGATATAAGATATAAGATATAAGATATAAGATATAAGATATAAGATATAAGATATAAGATATAAGATATAAGATATAAGATATAAGATATAAGATATAAGATATAAGATATAAGATATAAGATATAAGATATAAG